CATAACTTGCTCTAAACAAATGTTGCTTTACCTTAATTTTGCTTTGCTTTACTGTAAAACTGATGTGGAAGTTTTTTTTTCAACCTTCTACTGTTTTTCTTCATTATTTACATCTGTCTTGCCAAGTCATTGTTTTATTGGGAATATCTAAGAGATTTTTGACTTTTTTTATATTATGGGTATTTTTTTATCCATAGTACAACTGAAACAAATATATATTCTTTCCTTTGGAGCTATGTTCAACAACTATATTCCTGCTAACTCCTGATTTGTCTGGTCTTTAAAGCCAACACTAAACTTCACTGTCTGCACATGTCATTATTTTTTTCTTTTAGTATTTTTTAATATTATTGATGCAAAATTATACAGCTCCCAAATCAATAATTGCTCTCACGTTCTTTGACTACTGTTCATGTTTACGCTGCATTTAAACCCCCAGATAGAAGCTAGTTTTGCCTCAGCATTCACCTCCTCAAAACAAGTTGTCTTGTTTTGATAAGAGATTGGGGGCGGTGAGGTCACCATTTAGACTCCTTATCTTTACAGCCATTTAAAGGGCTGGTGCCTTTGCTAGCTCTTTAACATGTTGTGATCATGTGGGTTTTCGTCATTGCTTTGGTGTATTCTCTCATGTTACAGTTTCAGTAATAATAGTAATAAAAATTCTGTTACAGCTATAACACATTTAATTTGAAATACCCTTAAAAAAGGTTAATATCAATATAGAAATATAAATTTATATTTAATGTCCCAAAATATTTTTATTTCAAAACATTTCTGACTTGAGATGTTGCATTCTTAATATTTGCCTTTAATTAGATGATATACATGTCACTGGAGCATCTCTTACCAAATAAACATCAGAGGGCATTGTCTCACACACCTTTTGTGCATGACACTCTAGCTGTTTCACTGCAGCAGTGTTGTGCATTGGAGTTATATTCTCAAAATAAGCATGTCCTAAGATGACTGCAGTTAATTACCCAACACATTCACAAGAGTTTGGCACAAACACACAGTGAAAAGCGCATTTTTAAAGCGACACCTGAATAAAAAACAAGACCAAAAGAAAGATGAGATCACAGAGATGCTTATAAGAGCATGCATATCAGTGTCGAGGCCACCCACAGATGAGTTCAGGAGGATGAGGTCAATCTGTCTACCCAGACATCCACAGCGGTGAATAGGTTTGGGAGGAGGGACAAACTGCGTAATCTGATGTCCCGCCCGAGCTTGGTCTGGACTGAGGAGAGTGTTACTTGGGATAGCTGGCCTAACTGTATACAGGATGGCACATGTCAGTGAAAGGGCACCTGCACACATTCACATAACTCTTGCACACACATGTATGAGCCCAAGCAGAATAGTTTAGTCAGTAGTAAACTTTTCACCTCTTGCACAGAGCTTAAACTCCTTACCAGCTGAGAGAGACAAAAAGTGTTGAAGTGGCTCTAGGTGTTTAATATTTCTCAGTCTTTTCTCTAAATATTTGAATTTTTTCTACACTTTGACCTTTTCTGGTCATTCGCTACTAGCTAAATGAATCCTTTTTCTTACAGATATCTATTTTACTGAAGTGTAGTAGCAGGTGACTGAGAGCTGCAACAGGAGGAGGATGGAGACAGAACCAAAGACAGACCCAGAGTCTGAGGTGCCGAACAACGAGGCTAAGACCCCAGACAACAAAGGTCAGGATCTGGAAAACAAGAAAGAGGATCTGGATAACAAAGATGAAGATCTGGACAACATCCTGGTCGAGAGTCTGGACACATCTGAGTTTGAGGGAACAGCTGACCGTCTGGAGCAGCTGATGAAGAGCATGGAAGGGCTTCTGTTGGATGTGGAGCAGCTGCGGAGCCACTGCAGCCACCAGGCCACCGAGCTGTTGCGTGTGGCAGCTGACCTCAAACAGCAACAAGAAGATCTAAAGGCGAGTTACACTGATCTCTCCAGAGAAATGCAGGAGATCATGGATACAGTGGATGACCTATTCAGCACAAAGAGTGCCTTTGAAGACAAAGAAAAACAAGTATAGAAGCTGAACCAGCAGCTCTGAGAGACAGAACATGAGTGACAGACTCAAGTTTTTCAATGTGGAGAAAAACAATACTGTGAGGGGGGAGATTTTGGACTGGGATGTGAGTTTAAGTAAAATTTGGAAGGGATGGGTTTGGGGTGGTGTGTTATGCAAAGGCTTTCATGACTTTGAAATAATATTTTAATGAGATTCTTGAATATAGACTTTTTATTGTGCAGATTGTATGACAGCTACATGCACTGAAATAGAGTTTATAAAATGTATATGCTTAGTTCAAAAAGTTTAATACAATGCAATATACCGATATTACAAATTATAGCCTCAAAAACAACCATAAAGCTTAACCAGCACCTCTTTAGCATAGTTTTAAAAAATTATGAGCTTTACAAAAGTATCTTTTGTTGCTGCGCTTTCAGTCTGGACTGCCATGTTTACACTGCTGTCTTTAACCCTGGTGATAACAAGACCATACAGAGGTACAGCCTGTTGTGTGTGTCAACAAGTTACTCACTGTCTATTCTGCTGCCTCATTTTCCCCTTGCTCACCCACTAACAAATATAAACAAATGGCAGCTATCAGGCATTCTGTGTTGATAGGCTAAAACTAAAGTACTGTATATATATATATATGTATTTTACTCCTGTCAGCCGAATGACTGTCTTCTAGCTTCCAGAATATCAGGAATGTTGCTCTTCACTGATTCCAGGTGGTACATCTCCTATATACTCTTCCCATCCAGGCCAAGCTAAACTGTAGTTTCTCACTAAAATAAACTTAAATATAGCCTTCATGCCATGTGTATCTCCCACTAGCACCTCTACAGTGACCTATTGGTCTGTATTTAGTGGTTTATGGGGTGTGCAAAATGGCAGTCAGTGGTCAGGAATGGGGAACTTCAGGAGATGTTTCAGCCTAGATCACATATTTAGAGTGTATTTTAACTACTTTGTGAACATACTTGCATCAACATTTAAAATGACTGCATGAAACCATTAAATTATGTGTGGTAAAATATTCACTGTTCCATCTTTTTCTTCTTCTTCCTTGCAATGCAATAGACAAAACAATGCTTACATTTCAGTAATAGTCATAAAATGAATAAAGTAAGCAAAAATAGTTGATCCAAAACTTCTAAAACAAAAAAAGGTTTCATGGCCTGAGGGTCTTAAATACAAATAATCTAACCCACAGAAGAAATTACATCTTATGTAGAAAATCAGAAAAGGATTCAAAATCTGTTTCTTTGTGTGGTTGAAATCTGACACTTTATTCTGTGGTGTTGGTGTGTAGAGAGGGCCAGAAGTAGAAATTTGGGTGTGAGTGTCTACCTTCACTTTGGAGGTGCACATCCCTCTGGGCTGCTGGTTGAACTGCTCGCAATTTACTTCAAGAAGGTAAGACAAGATAAGAGAAGACAGAACCTGACCATATTTGTCAGTAGCACGTTTCAGCCATCCAGGGGGAACACTTTGCACATTAAAGGCATGTATTACACTGCATCGAATGGACTAATTGCCCTTTCATCATTTATATTAACTAGATGTGACTTTACTGAAAGCAGGGTTCAGTGTTTTGCCCAAGGACACTTTGACATGTGGACATGTCAGTACTTTAATTCAGATTGAAATCACAAAGAATGTTGAATATGCTATGTCATATGTCATATGTAAAGGAGCTGAACATTTATGACATGTGTCAACATTGATACTGTTTATAGAAACATAGTGCAATGTGCAAGGGATGGTTGGTGGCTAAATGTTCCTGCTTCTATTTTGGTGCTGTCTCTAGCAGGCTTTTAGTGTGTGTTAGTGGTTCGTGGTGGGCTACAGTGTTTAGTGTGAGAGCACTATATATTCCAGCAGCTGAGTGAACAGGGGTTTTGCTTGTTTTTTTCCAGCAGACATGGCCAAATCATGATCTCTGGGGAGAGTTTGGAGCCTATGGGCCCTGCAGCTGCACCTGTGGCAAAGCAATGGCAATGAGAACCAGGAAATGTATCACTTCAAGATAGGACATACAGTGGAGAGGTAGGCTGTTCGGCGGAAAAAACTCTTCTATCAAGACATTTATTGCAGGCCTTCTGACTTTTAATTGAGATTTTTTTCTTTTACTATTTTGGGATTGCCACCACTTGTTCTTTTACTACTCTTCAACTTTTACTTATATAAATATGCCTACTTTCCCCCCCCCCCAGACAATATGTTCCTATATAAACCATTAATAGTTTTAAGGTAGTGTAGTTTAAAGCAAACTTTTATTTCTATGCAAATTTTTATTTAAAGTCCATTATACAACATGAAAAAATATCAACCTACAGCTGATGGGTAAACATACAACTGGATTGTGTGACTTTTGCCAGGTAAAGGAGTCAGCAGAACATGTACTATGTCAGTATCAAGAATATTATTCAGAGATGAAATACTATGAGACAGCTTAAAGCACAGGGAGTAAAACAATTTGATCTCAGGAATTTACTCTGTCATGAAGTTGGGAATTATAATAAATTATCAGTGATTTTGAGAGAATGTTATTATTAGTATTCATAATAATAATAATAATAATTATTATTATTATTAGTAATAGTAGTAGTAAGGTTTCGGGTTCAGACCCCACCCGGGACCTTTCTGTGTTGAGTTTGCATGTTCTCCCCGTGCTTGCTGGGTTCTCTCCGGGTACTCCCGCTTCCTCCCACAGACCAAAGACATGCATCTTAGGTTGATTGGTGTCTCTAAATTGTCCATAGGAGTGCGTGTGTGCGTGTGTGGTTGTTCGTCTATGGGTGCCGGCCGACCCCCGTGACCCCGTTCAGGGATTAAGCGGTAGAAAATGAATGAATGAATGAATAGTAGTAGTAGTAGTAATAATAATAATAATAATAATAATGCAGATAACGCTGGTCAACACTCAAGCATAGTAGGTGGCGGTAATGGACCTTAATGTTAGTATCCACCCGCAATTAAATAAAACGAAGAAGAAGAAGAAGAGGAACCGGAAAGACTTAACACTACATTTCCTCTGAATTTTTTTTTGTGTGCATACATCTCCATCGTATGGCGATTTGACAAGTACTAAACAACGATTTTCTTGCAGTATCATACCTCATTTAAAGAGACAGAATCTTCAGCACAATCATGGTAAGCGTGTGTTGTTTTAATGGCTTCTAAAATACTTGCGGTTTCAGCTATATTAGATTCTGTTAATCTGTCACAGCTAACAAGCTATGAAGCTAATTTTTACTCCTTGTCTAACATTTCTTCTGTTACTTTAAACACCTAACACCATACTTTTAACTTTGGGTCGTAATTAATTTGTTTCTATTTGTTAATTAATGTGTGGGTGAAGTATGCGAATTAACCGTTTACCTATTTTTTGAAACCCCGTGGGTAACTGTAGGGTTTGGATCAGAAACAAAACATCATTCAGACTGCATAATGCAGGGGATTAGGTGTGGCAGAAAATAGCTTACGTTATTTCTTCATTATCTTACAGTCCCACACAATTTTGCTTGTCCAACCAACCAAGAGACCCGAGGGCCGCACATATGCTGACTATGAGTCAGTGAATGAATGTATGGAAGGTGGGTATGAAGCTGTTTAAAAGAGATTTCAGTAATAAATCACAGTGCTGTTCCGTCCTTATATATTTTTTGCAATACTTGTAGGCTAAAATCATCTCTTATTAGCACATGCATGCATATTTAATTGTAGACCTCATATTTTTAAGCAGTGAGTCCCTGTTGTCACTGAGGTCAAACTCATTCAGTGCCTTATTTATCTCATAAATATAAAGAGCTTCTAAAATATAAAGAGCTTCTGACAAGTTACAGTTTAGGATGTGTATGAGGTATTGTGAATGTCTTTTAATGCACTTGTATGTAAAATTATTTTCTATACATGTTTTTATATTTATTTGGGAAGTTTTTAGTTATTGTATGGGATGCATACTGTTACAATTAATACACGATATGCAAACTGCACCTGAACCTGTGACATATGAACTGTAAACCACTCTGTTGAACCACTGAAGTGACCACCGCTGTTGTAAAAAACAATGATCACAGCTACCTAAATTGTTAATTTCCTAGATTTATCAGTTTAGCTTTATAATTTTCTTCTTTCATTTACAATCTCTCTAATCAACCTTATCACCTGGTTGTAAAAGCTTTGTATGATGCACACTCTTGGAAATACTTTTGCTTCTTTTCAGCATGTACCTCTCTTCCAGGTGTTTGCAAAATGTATGAAGAGCATCTGAAGAGGATGAATCCAAACAGTCCCTCCATCACTTACGACATCAGTCAGTTGTTTGACTTTATTGATGACTTGGCAGATCTGAGCTGTCTTATGTAAGTGTGATTTGGCTGGTAAATGCCTATTGATCTCAATAAAAATCAGCCTTGCAACATGTTGAACACCTCCAGTAAAATATATTATTTATTATGCAGGTACAGAGCTGACACCCAAACATACCAACCTTACAACAAAGACTGGATCAAGGAGAAGATATATGTCCTGCTGCGGCATCAGGCTCAACAATCGGCAAAGTAACGGCATCAGTCACAGGTTGTCCCATTACACGCACCTGAAAGGCGTTTACGCTCCATTTTATATTAAATGTGTATATATATATATATCTATGTAAAAAGACATTGCCGATTTGACAAGGGTAGGCTTTCATTTTATACTATAAATTGGGAAAGGACATGGTTTGAAAAATGGGATAAGTCAGACATTTTGAGCTTGAGCCATGTTTCATAGCATAGAGTACGTACTACCAGTCAGTAGTTTGGACACACGTTCTCATTCTCAGAGTTTTGACTGGTAGTGACCAGAGTGGGGTTTAAGGACTGCACTTCAACCAGCAGGCACAGAGAAGGGTCCCTGCTGGTTGAAATGCTACACAGGTTATATAAAATTGTTATAAAAATTTTTTTTGTCAAATATTTAGTAATGTGCTTTGTTTTCCCATAAGCTATGTGACATGATTTTGTAGACCTTAACTAAGCAGTTGGATGTGAACATGCTGGGGATTTTGATATTGGTGATTTATTTTTGAATATGAAATTACTGCAAAATGACTCGCCCATTAATTTAACAGGTTCAAATGGTTTTTCTTTTACATATTTCATCTATTATTGTTACTGTAGCTTACACTCACAATGTAAAATTGTTTTTGTAAACATTTACCTTTTCATTGAACTTTATTTCAACTATCCCTGTTGCTGTTTACTTTGTTTTAAACAAAATAAACTATTGTCATATGACTGGACTCCACTGAGTATACAACCTTTAGCACATGAAATTTTAGATATAAATTGATAGTCCACTAGGACCAACAGATACGTGTCGGATTAGACTACCGGCTGATTATGATGCAGCCTCGCAGGACGGCGAGTTACGTAAAATTTACTGGGCAGGATGAGTGCTCGATTTCTGCTCATCACTATCAGAAACTGAATTTCTACTTGAGTTACTGTACCTTTAAATGTGGCGGGCTGCCCTGTTTTTGCTGTGCTGGAAACCCCGTACTGACTCTGAAGGGACCCAAGATGGCGGAATACTCACGGGGGGGGGGGGGCTAGCAATTATCTGAGCAAGACCTCGGGAATGAATGGCAAATAACATTCTAATGTAAAGCGTAGCCTTTAAATAATTATACGACTACAGTTTGTTGGTTCGCATAAATTTTGGGATGCAGCAATACCAGTAAGGAGAGAGTGATCTCCCCGCGGCCCCGAGCCAGAACATGGCGGAACACTTGGGGAAGAAATAGCGGCTAACGCTAGCTAGCTGGCGTATTATTCAGTTAGAAAGATTGGTCCGGAATAAACACCGTGTCTGTGTCACGCAAGTGCGATATAATGTTATCGGTACACAACTTCATTTGGCTTCATAATGGTGTTTAATGTAGAATATTCAGAGCGTAGGCAGTTAACGTAACCTACTAGCCAGCTAGTTAACTCGTTAGTTTTGCTAGCTAACGTACCTGGCTAAGGTTGCACACAAGGGTTCAAACTACTACTAAGTAGGCAGTGTTGTGGCAGCCATTGGTCGTAGCTTATTCCGAATGTCCCTAACCTAACTCGGCTATAAGATAGGGGTCTGTAATGTTTGTTAGGGTTTATTTTCTCGACTAACACTTTAGCAAACGTCTTTGCCATCCGCATTGAGAATTAGACTGTCATTAACTTGCTGCAATGGTTTGTGTGTTATGTTGCCTCAAACTGTTGAGATAAATCTTCAGGCAGCTTGTCTGAAAACAATCAGACATTGTAGTTAGAACAACAGAGACCTTTCTGGATATTCGTCCAGGTCTTCCACTTGTATGCTACTTCAAATAACTTAGTCTTATTGACCTGTTACACAAGTCAGTACTGGTAGAAGAGAACTGGTGTTTTAAAAAAAAGTGATTTGAAGTTTTGGGGTTACTGGGTGAAACAAACACCCTATAAGAACCAAGAAGGTCCGGAAGGGGGGAGTTGTTTACAGCCAGGATGACGGACACTCGTCGACGAGTCAAAGTCTATACCCTCAATGAGGACAGACAGTGGGATGACCGTGGGACCGGGCACGTCTCCTCGGGTTATGTGGAGCGACTGAAAGGCACGTCTCTACTAGTCCGAGCAGAGAGTGATGGTAAGTTGACAGTCTACAGCCACAGGCATGGCATATGCCTAGGTAGTATTTGTTTGTTATGTTTGAGCACTGTTTCAGTTGCTATGTGATTACTTTATATCAACAAATGCCACTGATTTATCTTAACCAGCTAGGGATATGAATGTCACCCTCATTTGTATACATTTAATACCCTAACCTACCTTCTGAATGAAAGTAAGTTTGATAACACTTGGTGGGCCTTCGTTTTGAACCTGCTAGGTTCCCTGTTGCTGGAGTCCAAAATCAACCCAAACACACCCTACCAGAAACAGCAGGTCAGTACATAGCATGGTGTACTATACCCATGTAGAATATTAATTCCCTTCTCTGTGTACTAATTGTAAATTGGACTTGTTTCCCCCCCCCCAAGGATACATTGATAGTATGGTCAGAGGCTGAAAATTATGATCTGGCACTCAGCTTCCAAGAGAAGGCTGGCTGTGATGAAATCTGGGAGAAAATATGCCAGGTAACTACACTTCTTTTTGCGTGGGTGTGTGTTTGTCTGCTCCATCTGTGAATGCATTTGATATCAAGTGTATTTGTGGTGATAGTTTCTTTAAGTAGCTGCATCCTACATATTCACCTCATTGTTAAGGTGCAGGGAAAGGACCCATCAGTGGACATCACCCAGGATGTGGTGGATGAGTCTGAGGAGGAGCGCTTTGATGACATGTCATCGCCAGGTCTGGAGTTACCGCCCTGTGAACTGAACC